AAAGTGCTGGCATAAATTCACTGTTTTTTTTCCCCCCTATAGATACACAGTCTTGGATTTTTTGCTCCACATTACTCATTTTTCTTATTCTATGGCTCAATAGAAAACATCTTCCAGGAAGTGCTCAGCCTTCCAAATTCAAGTGCTGCTGGATAGAATTAAGCAGTGCTATTTCAGGTTCCTGATCTGAGGAAGCATAAAGCAATGCAGAGATCAGACCACCACCATTTCCATGCCCTAGGAACAGCATCACCCTTAAGGTTCAGGGAAAAGTGAGCCTTGATATGCTGCTTTTCTAGGACTCAGCATCTCCTAGCGGAGGATATGAAGGGTTAGAAAAAACTCTTGAGCTGCACAAGGATCCAGATTTTAAAAAGGAAAGCTAGATCTTTCCCCACCTCTTTCCTTTGGTGAAAGGAGTGATGTTTCAAGAACACTGTTGTCTAGCCTATCAAAACAGGTCAGGCAGCATTTACACACATACTTCAACACATACTTGCAACTTCTTTTAAAAGAGCAGCCGTACAACTGATGTTTGTTTGTTCATTCACTGAACACAGGCACAAAGGCCAAAGTCAATCCAACACCAATAAAAATAAATAAAAAAAAGGCTAATATTTACAAAAATGCCTTCAGAGTGGTTTTGCTTAGCTGGTCTTTCCTTTGGTGAAAGGAGTGATGTTTCAAGAACACTGTTGTCTAGCCTATCAAAACAGGTCAGGCAGCATTTACACACATACTTCAACACATACTTGCAACTTCTTTTAAAAGAGCAGCCGTACAACTGATGTTTGTTTGTTCATTCACTGAACACAGGCACAAAGGCCAAAGTCAATCCAACACCAATAAAAATAAATTAAAAAAAGGCTAATATTTACAAAAATGCCTTCAGAGTGGTTTTGCTTAGCTGGCAGAGAGATACAGCCAAGGGATAGGACACAATTTGGCTTGGCTTTGCCCTCTCACAACTGCATTTTCCTGCTGCTGCAGCTGCCTGGCTACTGTCCCACCACCACCCACTGGTGCCAGCTGTGCCCAGTGCCTCGGTGTGGAACACTGCCTCCTTCTCACAGACCCTGAAGGTATTTTATTTCACTGTGCTTAGTCAAGAAAGCATTTTATGTTCTTAACTGCATTTTTTCAGCTTATTCTGTGGGGCCAGTGGGGTCACACTTGGGGCTAAAAACCACTCAATTCAAGCAGCTATAAGAGGAAAAGCCCACTGCGTGATCCCTCCCATTTTTGTTGCATCCCACTTCAGGTGAGTTAAGGGTTTGTCTCCCCTGTCCCACCTCTGCTGAGGGCTCCTTACCTCATCCCCCAGCTTTGGAGACCTCCAGCTCCCCTTCAGATCAACCCCTTGCATTCACATCCAGCACTGCAGGCAGCCCCAAGTACTCAGCAAGACTCACCGTGCCACATTTCCTACAGCCTTGCTCACTTCTCTTGCACTGGGAGTAAAGCCTTGGCCATGAAACTCAGAAGCTCAACATCTAACCACTGCTTCTAGCATGCCATTTGCTTCTTAAAACCTCATTAGACCAATTCTCATCCCCTGGGCTCCTGTTGGGGAAATCAAACCCTCATCCCTCTCCTGAGAGCAGCACTTCAGCAGCTTCTTTCTCTTCAGTCAGTATGTACTGCAGCTCTACTCCAGCTCTTAGTCATCACGGAGCAATAAAGCTTTCTCACAGACTCACACTCTTATAAATTCAATCTGTTTTATTCCAAATATCACATAAATTAAATACATTTCCCATGAATATTGCAAATATACATGAAATGAACATTGCAATTTTTAAAAAACGTTTTGGCTTTGCTTATGCAACAAGAGGTGCCAAATGTGGTTAGAACATGAACTCCTGTATTTACTAGATACAAAAAGGTGCAGATTAATAATTTATATTTATACATATGTACACACTCCATTTCATAACTAGCTTTAAAACAGTAAAAAATGGTTTCAAGTTTATCTACATTAAACATACTCGTTTAAATCTGGTCAGAAGCCCCAGATAAGAGTTGATACAATCATTTCACAACTGCAAAATTAAGGCGCTACCAAAATACCAGTTCCACTAGTGTAAAATGTATTAGGAATAGAGAGTGTACAGCTTTCTATTTAACAATTTAAAAGTGGACTGGAGAACAAGGAAAAAGGAGCAGTAAGAAACATGACAAGATCTACAGGTTAGAAGTAGAAAGAGATCTTGATGACTATCAAATGAACATATTAAAATACAGTAGATAAAAGGCCTCAGTGGCAAACAATTAGTATGCTTCTGAAAGACAAAAAAAGGTTAAAATATATATATATATCATTTTGCAGCTTGAAGCTTAACAGGTGAACAACAGGTGTAGAGGTAGAGGGATTTTTTTTTTTTTTTGGCCTCTTTACGATGTATAAAGAAGGGCCACATTCACCACAGTGAAAAGACTCATCATATATCCCAGCATCCTTGCTTGGACAGCAAGAAAGAAAAGTGTAATGAGCTAGAAAGGCAACAAATCCTGTCTATCTCTTCCAGGAGCACAGCTCCAATGCTTCCACATGTACCTTGGCGACAAGTTACACCTAAACACAGATCAGCTGTAATGTGGACATTTCCTTTAGAGAGAAATGAGATAGCTAGATTTTCCCATGAGGTACTACTGGATGCTGTAGAGATTATATGGCAGAGATAAATTTGGTAACAATGAAATTGGTACTTTCCCTTGGAGTGCAAGTACCACAGGGCAGTGGTGATCTATCTCTTTCTTTATTTATTTATTAAAGCTTTGCTATTTGATCAGCATTTAATGTTTTGGAAGAAATGTCAACTTTGGGCTGCTAATATGATTATTTGCATCCATACACAGACAATTCCTTTGTTGTTATCATTTATCCAAAACATCAGTCACTGAAATATTCAAACTGCTTTAAGCCTCGACTAAAAAAAAATCCCTCTACAGTTCAGCTTTCTCTTCGATAACTATAATCCCATTAATTATGTAGGTCTTCATGAACACAGTAATGTCATTTTCCATGTAAAATGTGTGTTTACACATTACAGAACAGCAGTAAACAACCTCTCTTGTTCCATGGGGTTTCCTCTCAGAAGTACCTCAAAAGTAGATACCTTGAAAAATCACTTTTGCAAAGAAGAATATTCACATTAGTTACTGAGGCAAAGCCAAGAAGACACTAACTAGCACCTTTTTATATTTTTTCTTCCTTAAACGCACTCCTAAATATAAAACTAAGCACATGTAAGATCAGGGACCAGTAATATACAAATGCCATCAGCATCCCCTTGCAGCTAAACTACTAACACTCAAAACTAGGCCAGACGCACAAAGGAGCAAGATGAGTGAGTCTGTAAGACACACAGAGCATAAGAAAGGGATGGGAAGAACAGGAAGCTGAACAGAAAGGATTGCAAGATCATACACAGTCCATCTTCTGGTCTGAGAATTAGTTGGCGAAACCACCCATCAGTAGCTCAGCTGACAGTGGGCTGAAGACCTACTGACTTCTGACATTTCCTCCCCCATATACAGAGCAATTCCTTTACCCTTCAGTGACTTACTCTTCAACATCTTCAAATCCTGGAGGAAATGCATTTAACTTGAATTTTGAGTATTTTGGTGATGGTAGCAGAACTTGCAGAAGGCTACTGTAGAGGTTATGACATCATTGGTTGTAAGTTATGCACTTCACAATTCAGAGAATATACTTACAAAGTATTTAAATAGAAAAGGCGTGTTCAAGGTAGAGGCAGTTACAGTACATTCAGGGTATGTTACAGAACCATTTGTGGTAGCCATTTGCTGAAAGGAAAAAAAACCTCTGTATTTTTGTTTCCCAGACCACACAGGTTATATCTACAATACCCAAAGAGAGAAAGTAATATATCTCAACCACTGCATTTTGATGCAGTCTTCTTCCAGAATTCATGTGCAAATTGGAAAAAAAAGAAGCTTAAATACATCTTCATTGACAAATAAGGACAAAAGAACTAAAAAAGAAACCAGGCACTTTGACCACTTAGGTAAAAAGCCATTTCTTCTTACCAGACTTCTGCACATGAACAAGTCTTCCCATTGGTCTTGCTATGCTTGCAGCACATGGAGATTCAAGTCAACTTTTTTTTCCTGTTGGTTGTATCAGTTATACTTACAGGAAACTATGCCAATTGAATTGGTAACACTGTTGGTTATTTCATTGGCAGTTGAGCAAATGTTGATCATTTGACTGACAAGCAATCAATTGAATAGCTATCAAAGTTAGATATTAACAAAACAATACATACAAAAACAATCAAAGTGACAAATGAAGGTTAACACCTGACTTAAGATTGCATTGAGACTTGCTTTTATAGGTTCGATTCATGCCTCCTTTCACGGTGTTACTGTGGACTGATTTCCATCACATACAGTAACTGGTACTAAACTACAATACTTTCGGTTTGAAACATGTTCAGTAGAGGTCACTCCAACATGACAGCTGGTTGGCATGACGCTGCAGGCAAGAGGGAGCTGGAAACCACCCCGCATTTCATCCTTGCCAGTGCCACGTGCAGAACAGGCATTCAGAGCAAATTGCAGCATGCCCTCCCTCATACTTGGGAGTGAAATAATTATTTCACAGCAAAGTTCACCATACTTATAGGAGACGGTTTGATTTGGATTTAGTGATAAGACCAGCTAGGATTACTTTGATTTTTCTTTTCAAACAAACCAAAGTACACCTTTCTAAATATTTTGTACATACTCAATCCACTATGACACATAGATCACAACACAAGGGATTACCTAAGGCTACTTGATAGTTTACTTCTTCAGTAGCTATTATTCTTTCAGATAAACATCCTCAGATACCTTGACCACAAACGGGCTCATGTTATTTTTCCTCACAGACTACGATTTCATGAAAAGAGAAAGATGTAGGCATATTGCAGACTGCCTACTGGTTCACTAACAGAGTGTACTGCTGGTTATAGCCTTCATGTGTACTTCTGCCAGGCAGCATGACTCCTCTTCTGTTCCCTACCTTCAAGAAAGTCTAGGAAACACCTCTTCAATCCACTGTCCAGTTTCCTCTTCCTACCAAGTGGAAATCCAGATCACATGCAGACCAATGGTGCTACTCTAGTACTTAACTCTCTTGCAGGCTAGAAACATCAATTCTATTGTAGTACTTTGAAGCAATTATCCATGTCTATCAGCTGTGCTCTGAACTGTAGCACAGCTTTGTAGAGGCTCAGATTTCACCAGGACAACAGGAGAGAGTGCAATGTTTGGTAAATACCCAGGATAACAAACTGATGCAATCAATGGATGCTGGACACAGTCAGAAAGGGCTGTTCCTTTTTGAAGGAATCTTTAAAAAAATAATAAAAATTAAAAAATCAACCCATCCCCCTTTGCCCTCCCCCAAAACAACCTATGGTGAGATGTTTTTGGTGCCCACTCAAAACTGAAGTCCATGTTATCTGGGTCTTTTGCGAGTCACAAATATCAATACACGTCTGATGGCGATAAGACGATCTTTAAGGGAGGTCATAGCCAATATAGCCAGCTGAGCTCTGTTCTCCAGAGGCAACACTGCCAAGAGCCACCAGTACCAGGCAGGACCACTGGGATTGCTCTGCAAAAGGATGGAAAGATAATAATAATTTATTCACCAGCACTGCCCCATGAAGAACACCATTTTCCTTACCACCTTCTATTTGCTAAGAAAGTCACCACAAAACAGCTTAAGCAGCAACTAAACACTTAATTTCAGGTGCCCTCCTTGTCTATATGCACCATTAAGACTCATCTTTTCAGATATCAACTTACATTGATATACTGTTTTCCACTGATTGTTTTCCATGCTTCACACTAATAGACCAAAATTGGATAAATAAGAGCTTAGAATGCACAAAACCACAGCAAAAACCTGTCAGAAAAGTCTTATGCAAAAATTAAATATAGAATAAGGATGCATAAGGAGGAAGGTTTTATTACCTGTGGCTCTGGCTCTTTTCCTGGCATGGACCCAAAATGATTAAGAATTTGCATTTTCATATTGTCTTTAAGAGATGTAAACCAGGCAACGGCTTGATCATAAACTGAGTCATGAAGGCGGACAAGTTCTTCATATTCCGGTCCTTCAACCTGATCATTAAAAGAAGGGAGATGGAACAGAAGAGGTTTGATACCATGGAGTCCATATGCTTCCCCAGAAGCAAGTGAAGCAAAATAATGCAGTGACTACAGTTCTTCAACTGTCTTTATCTAAGCAACCTGTACCCAAGTCTCAGATTTCAAACCTGTGATGCTGGAGTCTTTTTACCCTACCCTAGGTGTTCTGAAGTGACATTTCTTGGAGCAATTACTGCTTTTTTAATATCCATTCCTAAATGCTGGCACAACAGAAGAATCTGCTTTCTAATGCCAGGCCATCATATTAGTAATCTCAAACCTACAACTTCAACTCCCTGTCACAAAAGGGCCTCTGAATATTCATGTATCATCTGGCAAAACAAAAGAAACGCTACTGCCACCAAGCACAGAGACAGGGCTCATATAGCACTTAGGGATCTGCAGGATTTTGTAGAAGTGTTATTCAAGGCCATGGTAGGACAACCAAGGAGGAGGGCAGACACCTGAGGAGGCAGGAAGCAGGGTAAGTGGATGCTTTCCCAATACCAGGCATAAAAAAAGACCCCTGCTGAGGCTGAGTGCCTTAGTTGCACAGGCCTATTAACCAGTAAGGAAAAGAAAAAAAAGCGCAAGCAAAAACCAGTACAAATTGGGATGTAGTTTGAGTTTTTGGTTTGGGGTTGTTTGGTTTTTTTATCTTCACTGTAATATATGCACGTCAATGGTGTGATTCACCTGTGCTAGTCAGACACACATCTGAGTTAGCTGCCCCGCATGCCCTTCACAGTCAAGGAGAAACGGCTCTAGAGGACAACTGATCTTAAAGCAGCTATCTTAGAGCAGATAAGATATGCAGCTTTAGACCAAGATTTCTCACCATCAGATATAACATGAACATAAGGTGCTGAACACAGACATCAGCCTCAAGTGAGACAGGGTAAATCTCACTCTATTTAAGAAGAGGTGGGTTCTCTGGCATCATCTACAAACAATGGCTGGACACCTGTGTTCCACCACCCTTCACTGCAGATTTAGATACAGCAGAACCCTCACTTGGAACAGACTACCCACTCCAAACTTATGCAGGGGGAAGCATCTCTATGCAATTGGCCTTTCCTGCCCTGGAGAACAACTGCATCATCCTGCACAGGTTAGAAAAGCCTACTAAGACTTCACAGAGCTGCACTTCAACTATGAGAGTGTGAAGAACTATGAGAATATGACCAAACTGGACTTCATCAATTGGCATGAGATTACTACTAAACTCAAGTGTTAAAGAGGGATCAGGAGTTTATAGACATATGGTGAAGATCATCCAGGAAGTCATAATTAAGGATGGCCAAAAATCCACCCTTTGGCCAATACCCATCACAAGCACCTCACTCGATGCAGGTTTTACAAGAGGATTAATTTTTTAAAACTGCTCCCCTCCTTTTGTTTCTCTGCTTGTACAGGCACAGTAACTACATGCCACTAAGATGTCATTGAAAGAGTGGACTCCCACACTGGTTTGAGGATCTATTCTGTAAACCACGGCTGGGAGGTCATATGAAGTCTGCCAAGACTAGAATAGGTATTCTGCATTCAGTGAAAGAAAAGATTGGTCAGCTCTCTAGTAACAGGGACACGAGTTCTTAAAAGGGTTTAAAGTCCATACCAGTTTTAAAACATTACCCTGACCTCATCTACACATTATGACAGACCTCAGCACCTGAGTTTCAGAAGCTACTTTGAGATCCATGAAGGGAGTACAACACTTCAAGCAGAGATAATTAAAGGGCAAAAAGGAAGAAAGAGAAGGAAGAGAGAAAGTTTGTTCCAGGGTTTTCAAAAATAGAGCTTAGTATTTATAATGATACTGGTTTAAAAGTAATGCACAGCTAGCTTGAAATGCAACAAGGAAAGGCTATTTAAGTGAATCCAGCAATAAATGGGTATGAATAACTTTGCACCATAGATCACCTTTTTATCTTCAAGATACTCGATGTTTGCTGTGTTATATCCATCTCGCTGGCCATGGCTTAAGACCCTAAAACGACGGACACCAACTGTATCAACAACTGAGCGCCCATCAGGAAAAAACTTTACGTCCCTGATCTCTAATATACAGCCATGATCTGCAAATCTGAAATGACAGAAGGGCATAAAAGTGGAAGTCATCAATAAGTGTTTATACACATCAGGACAAATACTGGGCCTAATTCACCACTTTATTTGAAAGAGGATCCTGCTTTGGCGATAATACATTTCTGCTTATTCGCATAAGTCACCCAACCCCCACCCTTTCTGCCTTCCCTCAGAGGTCCAGGGCAGCAGCATTTTCAGAGTGTAAATACTGAGGGGCTGGAGGGGGGGGAAGGGGAAAAGTAGGGAAGGGACGGGAAACTAAATGGAGTATGTTTCATGCTGGTGGCAAATTCACCTCGTTTGCAAAGAAAACAAGATGGATAAAGATACCATAAGGAAGTCCAGAAACTCTGAAACAAACGCAGGGCTGGGAAAGCTATCCCCCTGCTCTGAGGTATAAGCAGAGGATTACATGTTTAGAAATAAAAAGCTTATATATAGCAAGATTTTTCTTGCATTTTTATCTTTTAATTAAAAAACAAACAAAAACACACTCCAAAAGACACTATTTGCAAAATAACATTTGTATCTGCTATATTGAAAGTAGGCACAGGTTTTAATATGTCCTCAAAACAGGCATGCAACAAATTTTTACTTTAAATTAGGCTTACTTAGACTACATTTGTGCAGTAGTGAGTTCAGTAAAGAGGCTGACTGCACAATGACTCTCCACCACAATACATTGATTTACTAGCACTTGCAGATCTGTACCTCAGCCTACAGCTAAGCAGAAGGCACTGTATCTAGTCTCATCTCAAGATATCAAATCCCTGTGGGGTCTGATAAATGTTTCATCAGGTAAATGCTTGTTTTACCAGGGCTTGGCCACTTCTTAACATTGGAGTGATGAAGAAATAGCAACACTGAGGGGAAATGACTCCTGTTTCAATTCTACCAGAGATTATGGGCTTGGGAGGGGAAAAAAAGCTGACTGCTGTGAAAAAGTCATCTCCCAGCTATTGTGCAAAACAAACTGAGGAACAGCAAGAGGAGTACACCTGCATACAACTAAGCCCTGATGCTCTTATAATTTGTATTGCAAGTTTATTTTAACAATATTAGACTAAACACTGCTTAAATAGCTATCTAACAATTTTTTTATTTAAGGATTTTAGGGACAATCATGCCAAGTTTAGAAATTAATGTGACGACTTTTGCAATTTTTGAGAAGTTACTTTTGCATAGAAAGTTACTTTAATCAAGTCTTTAATCAAAGAGAGACAAGAAAGCACCTGGAAATGAGTATAAACTATCCTTACACTTTGGAAGTTTACAAACTTTCTCCCAGCTATAATTTAAAATGGTTAAGTAAAACAGAGGAAGATAATGAACTGAACATGTCCTGTCACTATGTTTTTCAAAGGAGGTATGCACCCCAGTCTTCCATATCCATGTACATGAGGGAAAACAAGTTTCCCTACTTTTTCTGTTCCCAGTTGTTTGAAGAAACAAAAGAACTTCTTTATTTGGGTAAGAAGCTACAACAGCCTGCCAGGTGTCTACAGATGAAGGCCTCCTGAGCTACACTGCTTAACTTAAGCAAAAGTTACCACACTTAAAACGTTTAATTACTTCAGTAATTCTAAAAAACAGGACATAAAAACCTATCCATATCGGTTGCATTTTAAAATACCCTTTATGATACTATGTAATAAATCAATTATTTTGATTTGGGGATTTTAACCCCTTAGCCCTCTGTGTTAGACCTCACTTCAAATACATTTGGTTCTTCCACAAGCCATTACAGACATAAGGGGAGTTATCATTGATGTCCTAGGGTCATTTTTCCTCACTCATACAGGAGGCCAGAGCCCACTGGAAGCTGTAGCATCTCCTTTATTCTTAGTGCCACCTTACTACCCAGTCTGGGAGAAAAAAAGATCCTGAACTGGACAGGGAAAGGCTGCCAAGTGCTAGGATAACTGCCCTCCTCTCAGCTCCAGTAATGATAACTTATAGAAATGCTGCTTATTCAGGATGGTTATCTAATGTGATATTAAGAACCCCCATGTTCGTTGTCCATTTGACAGTCTGCATCACACCAATGTATCTTCTGAACTCAGCAACTATCTATTACATCTCTCAAGGTAGACCACTCTTAAGGCCACCTCATTTTATTTTTTTCCATGAGCATCTTCTTATCATCTTCACCCAAAAATCTATTACCTATAAAGGATTTAAAGACCTGAACGTTTTCATCTAATGATTAGTACTTACTCACTGCATAGGAAGCTCAAAACATGCCACAAAAATCAATTAAAGGTAACATCATATAGAATGGTAATGTAACCGACTTACTGCAGATAGTTCAGACTTTGCAACACAGCAGTAAAGACAAACATCAAAATTTAATGTTCAGCAGCAGAACAGGCTTTTCAGTTAAAGCTATAATTTGCGTCATTCAAATGATACCACCTATGCAGTCTAGAATGTATTTCTCTTTTTTTAGTCTTATTTTTTTTAAACTGAGCAGACAAGAGGAACAACCTCATCCAGATAGTCAGCTTTTGCTAGAACAAACAGGCTAGAAAGCTTTCCAACCACAGATAATTAGGTGCTATTTTTAGAGCCTGTAGTAGCAGGATGAGTTGTATTCTTGCTATCCACCCAACCAGGGAGCAATAAGAATTACACCTCTGTGTCAAAAGGAATGTTTAATATACAAAACTAAAAAGCCAGACACTTCAGTATTGGTTCATATAGGACTGGAAAGAACCACAGTGGTTTGGAAAAACAAGTACACTGTACTCCATTAGCATCACAACAGCTTCTGCAACAAGACATTCTCAGCTCATCTCCTTACCCTTTTAATTCATCAGCTAAGCACATGCCAAACTGCTTGGTACCAGTTTCCATGCACCTTCTTATCATCAGACGATAACGAGGTTCAAAGACATGGAGTGGGCAAGGGATGGTAGGGAAGGCCATGGTACATACGAAGATGGGAACATCTTTATTCAAACTGCAATATAATTGTTTAAAAAAAAAAGTTCAGCTTTATTTCTGGGTACTGCTATGTTCAGCATAAAACCTCAATATGACAGTAAGCTCAGTGGTTTCTTTATACTCATTCTTTGTAAACATGTATCTGGTCAACGTTTGTCATTTTTACAAGACAAACATATCTCAGGACTCTCACTATTAGTACATTAAAAAACAAATCCTCTAATCAACTTTCGTAGAGGGAAAAGTCAGTCAATAATAGCCAATCCCCCAAATGTTACATGTAGCAATACTTAAATACAATTAGCAAGATTTTTGTGACAACTTGACAGTAATATAGTATCCAAGAACTAACCACATTCAAAGCAAGGCAGTAGAAAACTCAGTAAAGCCTCTTAATTTTGAAGAAACCAAACAAACCTCACACTATTTTTTTAGGCTTAATTTTATGTTTTTTCTTTTTAGTTGAGTTGTAGAGCAAGATCCACAAGTCACTGACTACACTGAATCCTTGAACTTTTCCCGACCCACTTGTAATTGAAATTCTACTCTGAGAAAACCCCAATTATAACTTCAAAAGCAATTACATTGTTTCAGAGAAGAAAGCAATTATCTTTATTTTAAGAATACTGTTGTGCCTCGCTACCACACAAGCATGTTGTTTCTCATTTATCTGAACAAACATGTTGAAAATACAAAGCATCTTGCAGGTTAAATTACAAATTCATTCATTCTGTAGATTTTCATAAGTAAATTAAGCTTCTTCAGTACTTTAGATTTAAAATATATTTTTATAACAGCTGTCAGTAGTAAGATGAGAACCTACTTTGACAATTCCTTCATTTCTTCCTCATAAACTTTCTTCCTTTCAGATAATTCCTCTGGCAAGTAACGGACTATCAGTTCTTCTGTAAGGACAGTCTTCTTGTAAGTTCTGCTTGCCAGGAACTGCAAAAGGAAGAGACAAATCCTAAGTCTGATAATGAGAAGTCAAGTAATATCTCTTTCTTCTCCCAGCCCATCCCCTTCCCTAAGACCAAAGAGCACATTAATTTGAGACTGCACTGATCTCTCCTCCTTTCCAGCCTTCAGAAATCAAAACTTCCACTCTATGATATAAGGTTCACTCCAGTACCCATTTAACCATAAGCCCATTCCCTTTTTTTCGCAGATGTTTTACTACCACCAACAAAAGGCAGCTCCTCCTAGCTCTTGCAGAAGATGTATGAACTATTTTCTCTAGAGCTGCCAGGTTATTGCTCCCCAAAAAACAGTCCATGTATGAGACATGTTACGTCTGCTTGAGCAGAAGTACCAACAGAGGAGTGACCATTCCTCATTCACTACAGGTAGAGATACAGGCAAAAGAGGTGTGAAGAACAGGGCTATAGCTGGGACTCCCCAGGCACAAGCCTGATGTGACAATGAAAGCCTTTATTCCTTTAAGCAAAAGACTCGCTTGTTTTCCAAGAAATGACAAAGTATGTTCTGGAGCAAATGAGGTCTGTGCATAGCCTGATGCTAAGGGTACTATTATTGTTTTTCAGGTCTGCCAGAAGCACAGAAAACCCCACATATGTGCTTTCAGAAGAACACGGCTTTGTATTTTTTTGTTAATTAGGGCAAGGACACACTTACTTCTGACAGCTTCTCTTTGCAGAGTGGGCAATGCGGATTATGGTCAAGGCAACGCTCAAGGCATTTGAGGCAAAAGGTGTGTCCACAGGGAGTGGTAACAGGTTCATAGAACAACCTGAACATGAAAACATGGAACAAAGAAGCTAAGCTTCCAACATAAATAACGCAGATTCCAAACTGTGGAAAGGAGCAACTAGATCCAGCCACTTCTTTCTTTTCTGCTTTTGCATAAATCACAGGTGACAGTTTTATCTATTAAAAAGGTTTTCATTTTTAGTAGTGGCAAACAATGAACAAAACTATGCAGAAAGGAACAGAGTAATTGTTCAGACATTTTCTGGAAGTTTTCCCTTATGACACCATGAAAACTGTTTTTCAGAACCTAGAAAGGCTTTATGATCTTAAAACCAGGCCAATGCTGTCATACCTCATGCAGAGGGAACACTCAAAGTCCGATGCATCCACCAGAGTTGTTGGTACCTCTCCTGAAGTGAGGACTGTGTTTTCAGGTATAACATCTGCATCTAAGAATAGTCAAGATGGTGATTACAGTAAATATTTAAGTAATACTGCAGTTTCAGATGCTGTTTAGGTTGTTTTTCCATAAAGATCCTAATTTCTCTCCTTCCTTTTTTGAAGTTTTGCTCCAAATAAACATGTTTTCCTTTCAAGTTTTAGACTTTCTGGCAGAAAAATCTTTTAGAGAGCAGAGGATTATATCTACGGCCGGAGAACACACTTTAGAGTTGAATACCCATGCTTTGTTTTTCCAAAAATGGTTAGTTTTGTGTTGTTGTTTTTTTTAAAAGTCTATTTTTTTAAAATACTCTGCTATTGCTTTTCCCACCACCATCACCACTCCACTCCCACATCAGCCAGGCCAGATGTTTTAAAGTACATTAAGTCCAGAAATTAATTTGTTTACACACAGTCAAACTATTTCATCAGTGTTTATTATAGATGTCTCAGCAGGGGTAATTTTTTCTTACAAGTATTAAAAAAATCTTATTCTCTTCTGGACTAGTCTGCTGTGGAAATCCCATGTTTCAGACAGCTTAAAGTTTAAGAACTACTGGGGTTGCATTAGCTCATGCTGATTTCACTAGCTCAGCACTCTGCAAGCAGGGAGACAAAACAGCTAATTTAAAATTCTGCTTAGTTTTTGGGAACTGGTGCATATCCCTGTAGTTATCATGCTTAAAGGGTATAGGCTTCAAACTTCACAGCAGCAGCATTTAAACACAAGAGCTATCAGTTCAAGCTTGTTATGACATTTACACAAGCAGATTTTGCGACTTCTTCTACAATCTGCATCTCTTGCTCATGAGAGTTGCAAGAGAGCCATAAATGCTGCCTCCACATCCTTTCTATTTACCTAATTAATTCTTGACTGTCAAAAACAAAGTTTCAGCTTCTTCTACTAAAACACTAGAATGTTTTGTTAAAGGACAACTTATGCTCAGCATCTGGTTTATCTTGAACACAGATGGGATACGGGAGAGGGCACTGGTGGTGTGTGGCCTACTAAGAGTGTTATCTTTAATCTGCATCTCTCACATGTTAGCATTTAGTAATAGCAAGAGCCTAACTGCATTCATTTGGCAAATAGTAACATGGCATTGGGATCTAGCACAGACCAGAAATTAAGGGTTACAGGTAAAACACCCTCTCTGGCCTCCGCTGTGAAGATACAGGCAGGTCAGATTTCACAATCTATTTACTGAGTCTACAGTCTCAGACAAGCACACAGTTTTTCCCTGCACAGCGGGAAAATCATGATCAGAAACTGGCCATATACTGATCATCTGCAGAGGTGGCAGAAAGACAACAGCACTTGAAGACTTATTATTTCAAGGCCAAAGTCAGACTTGTCAAGGAGGTCTCAGGTTTGTTGTTTTGTTTTTTTCCTTTATGGGAAAAAATGCATACTAATAAAGCACCATCATAAAAGGCCCTTTTAACTAATTATTTTTCTATTCAGTGCAATATATTGCTTTCAGGGCTTTTATCCCAGGGTACTAAAACCACTTTTGAGTCTTTGTTATAAGCTTGAGAAGCATACCAATTATACGCACAGCTATCAAGAGACAGAAAACCAGGGTGGCTTATTACCCTTCAAAAGGCTTCTTTGTTTGCTTGGAAAATTTCATGTAAAGTTGCATGTGACTGTTTCTGATGCCAGTTAAAGATTAGTTAGTTTCTAGGCTTACGGTATCATTCCTTCATATAGAAAGACAATGAAGTCCAGCTAGAGCTCTGAAATCCAGAAAATGGAAATGGCACCAGCAACACAAGACTACACTGTTTGTGGATTACACATTGGAAATGGCCCATTTGAGAAAGAAAAATACAGTGTTCATTGAATGAACTGAAACCACTCTGAAATAAGGTAAACAATCTGTTAGAGCAGAAACAGACACATCAGACAACAAAATATTATTTGAATCCCTGTAGGGAAGGTTTCATGGACACCAATAAAAAGGGAGGAGGAAAAAAGTATTTAAATATTTTTAAGTATTTGCAAAAGAAATCTCCTTTCTAAGCCACAACACAAACCTTTTTTAGGAATCTTATTGGGGACATCCAAGCTTTGTAAATCCCTCATATCACTGGACAGCTTTCTTTTTAAGCCAGCCCCAGGTAAATTGGAGAGAATAGCTCCCAAAGACTTCTTGTTATCTTCAAAATAGAGATCCAGAACATGATGGGAAACGGAAGAATCAGTGCTTCTAAATACATCAGATTCTTGGGACGGGGTTTTTGTTAACCTGAACACAGTATCCTAAAAAAGTTAAGAACAGTTACATACAGCATGAGACAATTTTGCTTTGTTTGTTGTTTTTTTGTTTTCCTGTTAGGTGTATACAACAGTAATACACCAATGAGCTTAGCACAAGAGAAAGGTCCATATCAAAGAAGGCCACTCTCCAGTTACATGAAATAAGGCTACTTCTCTCCCTACAGCTCCCATGTCTAGAAGTTATGTTCTTGTCATACTATAATCCTGAATGGAAAAAAACACCCACAAATACAATCAACCCCCACATGAAGGCATCACATTGTTTTCTGAAGAAAAAACTTCATTCTCTTATTTTTCTGAGGAAGTACATCCCAACAAGAGATGCAAAAGCAACGGAGAAAACAGGCTTACCATGAAAGCATATGCCTACATGAGTGCAGACAAAGACAATGTCACACAGATCAGACAGATCCTAGTGTTACTTTTGGCATTTTTATGTTGAATGCTTTTTACTTTACCTTTGAGGACCCAGCAACAGAGCTATCTTCTGCAGTTGACTGTGTGTTTATGCTACTCAGAAATGCAGGTTTCAATCTTGTATGGGATGTTCGACTAGAGAAAGGTGCTGTTAGACTATCATGCACATTTTCAAAGGCTGGGAAAAACATCTCGCACATTATCTAGTCAATTAGAGGAGGGAAAAAAAAGGAAAAATAATAGTAATTATGAAACAGATATTTATGTTTGTACAAATGCAGACAGACAAACTTCACAGCTTCTGGGTGCCAAGAAACTTGCCAACAACTAGGACATCCTGCATTCCCCAGTGCCCATAGCAAACCTGAACAGCAATCCCCATCACAAGCACAACCACATCCTGAGCTGCTCTTCGGGTGTCTGCCTCCCTCCCCAAAGGCCTCTGCTCCCTGGGAACGCCCAGAGCTGTTGCATCCTTCTCCTGCCCCACCTCTCACCACTCTGACCCTCAGACCACTGTCTCCAGAAGTCTTCAGAAGACAGTCTTCTATCCAATCCAGTTAACAGAGATGTGTTTCATCTCCCTTCATGCTCTGCATCCACCTCCTCTACTCTCAAGCAGATTTCACCCCTAGCTAAAAGCAGTGTAGATCCTTTTCCCCCTCCAAACACTCCCAGCCAAGAGCCTTGCTGAATCTCCACTTCTGCCTTCGTGGACCATCAGGAAGAATCTGGCAATGGTTGGTTAGCAGTAAGTGTCTCCATTATGGGAAGTTACACAAACCGATAAGGAGACTGCAGGATTTAGCAGGACAGGGCAGCATGCAGCTCCCCTTCTCAACCCTTTGCTACTTAAAAGTGGTTTTCCAATGGGCACTAAAATTAGGGGGCTTGAGCCTATGAAAACCAAGTGTACTCAAATCCAGCTGACATACTGTAATCTACAAACAGCAGCAGCCAGACCTACAGATAGGCAGTGGGATCCACTGCACTTGTAAATATACAATTGTACATTGTGTATTTACAATCCCTTTGGTTGAGGCATCAACCAAACTCAAGAGGCATCTTGCACAGCCTATCATTAATAAGGTTTACTGGAGAATCTACCAAATCAAATTAGCTTTTGGTTGTTTACTGTCACCTATAACAGTAATTTTACTTGGTTGCAGGAGTAAGAGCAGTGTGATGGCCAAGAAGTGACCAGCAAATAAATCTACCTTTTGGGCTTCTTTCTTCATTGAGCTCCATTCAGGATTTAAGGCAACACAATAGAGAAACTCCTTCAATGCTTCCTCAGTCCTTTCCAATCCAGAAAGAGCTTTTGCTTTCACATAATGGCCCTGTTCACATAAAGAAAATGTACAAATCTAGAGATAATTTCTGAAGTGGCAGCAAGACACCAGCAAACAAACTTGGAAGTTCATGCCATTTGGCAGGCAAAGAGTAAGATGCTTTTGGATAACAACTTTTTTAATCCATATGACTGAAGGAAACTCAGTCCCTTTTGCTGAAGGAACATCCCCCAGAAACCCACTGTTGCATTACACATGACCAAAGCCAATGCTCCTTTCCTCAGGGAAGCCTGACGCAGAACTGAGTATTTGCCTCCCCAGGGCCTGAGATTACTACGTATCTCATGGGACTTGATAGCTCAGAAAACAGTTTCACGTACCAGGACAACCCTAACCATCATGAAGTTATATGGGAAAGGAAGTGTTATGGGGCAGGCTTGAGGTAGCAGATCAGGGAGCAAAAGATGATAGCTTCAGGACACTCTCACTTCTGCTGAGTGTCTTGCCAGGATAGAGATTATTTCTCACCTATTTTACCAGGCTAGAGAAGACCAGCAAAATTATGAATTTAGGACAACTTACCAATGCTTAACCTGAAACCATTTAGCCCATCCTACCTCTCCCACATCCACAGCCAACAGATATGGAAGTCAGCTTGCAGACAAGTCCTGCTTTACTTGTGTAGCAAGTGATGAATGCCTCACCTGTGAATTTATCTGAATTTGCAGTTCAAAGCTGGCTATGGAAATCACTTCCTTAATGATGAAAAGAAAATAAGTGTGCATTTAAACATCGGTCTCGCTCATCTAACAGAAGTGTGTTCTGCATGTCCACCTCTGATCCATGTATCTCTAGGCTGCACTGAAAGTACATTTTCACTAGTCCATGAGACTAGTTAGATGAGGAGATACACTTTTCTATTTTTCATAGAAATGCCAGAAGATCCATTATCACATAATCTTCCTGAGCAGGTACTTCCCTCACTCTCTGAACACAGCCCTTCAAGCTGAAGCATGTTATGACCTTTCTACTGCCAGGAAGGAGGCTTATACCAAATGCCAGTGAAGGGCCCTTTAGGAAAGGTTAATTCATGTATGTCATTTGGTGACCTGAGCAAGAAGTGTCAGTAGACACCAATCTCTAAAGATGACATACGTTTGTGTTTCCCCGAATGCAGTAGGAAGAGAGGTGCTGTGAGGCCTGACCCTGACCTTCTTATCTTGATACTTGTACAGCCTCTGTAAAACATTTTTAGAGAGGTCCTGACATCACTGTCAGGATGACTGCACTACACTGGGGAGGATACAAGGCTGTTTGGCCTTGTCCTTTGAGGCCATCAGAACAACCTCTTTATCCAAGCTGCAAGGGAGGACTGAACTGGCCTGTCTACAGGCAAAATAACTAAAGACCTAACACCAGAAAATAGGCCCAGGGACTAGAAGCACCTACACTTTAAAGACTAATGTTACCACATTCCCTTTCCTATTTTCAAATGACCTTGACAAGCACTGGATGAAGGGTAAGGTCCATGTAAGACCTTGTGCAACAGGCAGGATCCAGGCAGAAGGACATCTGTTTCTATTAACCCCATGAAAGTAAAACTGAAAACTTTTCCCTGCCTCAGAAAGTCCAAGGACTTGCTTTTCACAGCAACTGAAAAAACAAGTTGTCTACTAGTCAAACGGCTGGAAGGTAAGTGCTTGCCACCTAGGAGCTAATCCCCAAATGTGTTTAATTTTATGGTCTATTTTTAATTTCCTTTTAACACAGCTTATGTTTGAACTAATCACTGCCACAGGATGAGATGCCACAAGATACAAAACAAAGCAGATGCCCAGAATTCCTGGAGAACATGGATTCTGGATCAGCACAGCTTATGTGGAAGTTCTCACACACGTGGCAAAGCACATGTGAAATGCCTCTGTGACACTGCTGGTTATGCCACAGTAACAATTTCATTTTCCATCAGCATTCTTCTGAGAGGTGATTAATGAAATCTTTACCCGCTTACAACTGATACACACCACATTTCCATGGATTCAAGGCAAACGGAGAAAACCTTTCAAGAAAATATTTGAATGTAATTCATCTTTCTCCCTCTGCTAAGAAACCCAGCCAATGCCACCCAAGATGGATTCTTGACTTGGTAAGAAACTGTTCTAGATAGAAAGGCAAACTGGAGGCAGGGGGAAGATTATGAACTGCCTTCAAATAAGAGAGGTTTTAATTGGTGGTAAGACAGATAGCCTTCAGAGACAAGTATCTAACTTGTCAGAAACCAGATATTGGAGACAGCATCTCTGTGCTCAGCCCATGCCTGCCCTTGCTGGAAACAGAGAGTTAGCTGCAGCCTCCCATGCTGAAGCAGGCAGCCAAGGGGTTCATACAACATCTCCGTAGTCTTTGAAGGGAAGCTAAGGTCTGTCTAAAATCCTTCCACAATTTCTCATTCTATTCCCTCTCCAGGGCTTTATCTGGTCAAACTCGTGCTGCAGTTTTGCTACTGATGGGCAAAAGACTTACTGGACGGGTAATCCCAGGTGGGACAAGCCACCAAACAACCAGTCTGCCTTCAGGCAACTAGTGGTAACTATGGGCACCATGTGTTGCTTCCATTTCTTTCTCATAATGTCATTTCTGATGCTTGCTTCAGACTATTCACGTGCAGTGTTCCTTGAAACACCTCCTGTTATTACAAAAAAATAAATCCCAATCCCCTCTATGAATCACCATGACACAGGTAGGAATAAGAGATATGAACTCTTAGTTCTAAAGGGGAAGGAAATACTGAAATACAGTCTGGGATACTCCTCAGAAAGACATTCTGGCCAGCAGGTCAGCCAAGCCACCTGCCTGAGACACACCTTCTGGACACACAACGATGCCGATTCTGAAGCCAAGCTACAGCACTCACCCTAACATACTGACAGGTACCAACAAAACCACATCACCCCCTGCCCACCACTGAACTCCCACTGGCTGGAGTTACGCTAAGGACCTTCCAAGACTTGTCCTAGGAAGAAACTAGCCTTCAGTAGACACTCCCAGCCCTGCTAATGCCACTGTGTTATTCCAACAATGCCTTCAGCAGCACCATCCCCACTAGGGAGAAGTCTCCCAAACAAGCAGCTTTCATTTTGCCCTTCACAACACGCAAACACCGTACCGCAGGCCAGTGGGGTTTGTTTCGGCAGAGGACATCTGCGTCGTGGAGAGCTTGCTGGTAGTTTTTCATTGACGTACAGAGCTCTGCTCGTTGCGCTATGAGTGAACACTTGCAAGAGGCTGGAAAACAAAAAAAGGTTACAAAGAGCTACATTAAAATAAGCACTAATACACGTTAGATACAGTAACCTAATTTCCAGCACAGTAACCTAAAAAGCACTACTGCGCAACAGTTACATTTAGATTCCTCTGTAATGGTACTAAGGCAATTTTCTTCCTTCCTGAAATATATTCCTCTCAGCCTGGAAGTAAGCTCCGCATCTTATCTAGCAGGACAGGCTTTATAATGACATATAGGATGTCCCCAGCTCTTACTGTCATCTTGTTTATAGGACACTCAAGAAAATAAAAATCCCCTCACCCCAGCGTGTCTTTGCTTGAAAGAAAACAGCATATGCAGAAAATACCAATGGAGGACTTCAGCTAAAACACTTCCCACAAATGACTCATGAAGAAAACTGAATGCAGTCTTCACATTTCATATCTACTTGTCACCAGTGTGTCTTGGCCTCCTTAGGGCAGGCAAACACCACACAATCACACACATTGCCTTACTACCCACACATTCATGAACTGGTCAGCTTGTGACAATTACGAACAACTCAATCATTATTATTCTGTCCTCTCCTAAGGTTTCCATAATGCATTTTAAGTTGGAGATACTCCTCCAGCAAAACATTTCACAGAACACAGAAAATCTTTGGGTGATCAACATTCAGCCAGTCCATCAGAACCTCTAGGTCTTTTCTGCAATGCTGCTGCTAGCCCAGCTCATCCTGTTGCACAGGGTTATTCTGTTCCCAGCTGACATTTGCTGAAGTAGGCAAGGTTGGCCATCCCATGCCTTGGGTTATTGGTCTGAATGGCAGCCCTGCCCTACAACTGCTTTTTCCTCCCCCGGTGTGGTGTCACAGACAACTTGCAGTCATGCTGTAATGTGCAGTGTGCTGTGCCAGCTCACAGACATTTTTAATAAGGAGTTGAACTGTGTCAGCCCCATTACCAACACCCGAGTAACACCACCAGTACCCATGCACCCAGCAGCTCTCTAGCCATTAACCATCACCCCATGCTCCTGATGGTCCTGCCAGTTCTCCACCCATCCCACCTCCACCTCCCCAGCTTGGCCAGAAGGATGCTGTGGTAGGGTCTCTCCAGCCTGCTTTGGCTTTACTGTCTGCATCTCACTTCAATATGAGCATCCTAAACACATCCTCAGTAAGAGCACATTGCCCACATGAAGCCTAGGCACACACACAAGTGTGTGAAGAAGCACACAACTGCTGCAGGTGTTACCACTCATTAAGTCATACACCTACCATGAGGGATGACCCTGATCAAGTCTCCCTTCCGCCTCCTCCTCCCCTCCCTGGAGTTGATGCTAGTGCTCGTGCAGCAAACCAGGTTTGCGTGGTTGCACAGAGAACCAGAGCAAGGAATCAACTGATTGAAAACAAATTCAATAAAAACAAATAAACAAAAAGGTTTAAAAGGATCAGTTTCCCCTCAGCTGGTTCACTGTACAGTCACGCAATTGCAAGTACCAGGGCAAGGAACGAGAAAGAGAGAAGCAGCAATGACTGCTGCCGTTTTTGGCTGTAGTGTGGACTGATGCCAGATGTGCTAATTTCTGTATGACATACCAGGGATGACGCTGCCCCACCAGTCCCAGACACCGAAGGCTAAAAGACTACACCTAAAAATAAGGAGCTCTGCAAACACTAGTTCACACTGTGGAATTTTTTTAATTATGTTGGTATTTATTGCTTAGTTTGGGGTTTTTTCAAGTAGCACACATGCAGACTGATATAGAGAACCACATCTTCAGCTGATAACTCTTAAAAGGACTGCAAGTTAAATGAAACTTAAAACAATATAAGGTCTTTGGAAGCAAGCATTTTTCTTCCTTTTGGTAGATGCTCAAATATAAAATAATTTAATTTTGCTACAATTTAAGCAGTCTGTCTTCTGTTTGTATTAAATATGAACGCACACTCCATATTGCCATCATCGTGTTTGATGTAGGACATTTGTGCAGAGTATACCAGGGGCAGCAGATGTAGTCAGCAGAGGTTGGTGCCTCAGCAGGCAGGCAGAGTGTTGGGTGGGGTATTTTTTGGCACGATGGGGGAAAGGAAGCAGGGCAAGACCAGGGGGCAGGGGAGACAGCTTCCTGCTACTGTCCACTAGTGCCCATTTCAGCCATGCTGTTGCTTCCTCGCACTTCTCAGTATGCAAGTCACCATGGTTTGTGCATTCAGCAGGCTCAGAGAGAGGGCAGCTTCACTGGCTCTTTTTTGGGATCACGGCTCCACTGCAGAAATTTAAAGTAAAAAAAGCTACACCACAGAGCACAACAGTATGGCAAAGTCCTCCTGTAGCAGAGTCCAAAGGTGCTCACACATTAAGGGAAAATAACAAGCTACTGAAAAAAAAAAAAACACAACAAAACAAAACAACAACCCAAAGGCAAACCACCTACATGTACTCAGGGCTTGTAGCTCCTGTCCACCAGAAAGCATAAGGTGTGGTTCATCTTCACGAGTAACTGGCGATGAATGTTTAAGTTAACTGTGAGAAAAGAGGGAATAAAGAAACCCAGCTTTGCTAAGGAGAGCAGTGTTTAAGAGACTACAGTATAACAAGTTTTCTATGGGGAGATGAAGCGGCTAGACAAGATGCTGCCGCTGGAGGGGGGCCCAGCTGCCTCACTTAAGCTCACCCCACTTGGACACACAGAAGCACAGCCCAAAAGCTTGCTTGCTCCACACCCAACCTATGTGTCCCCTTGTCCCCAGCCTCCTGCTGCCAGCAGGACCATCCCAGGAGGGTCCACAGCTGGTCTCAGGGAAAGGACAGATGTGCTGAACCCTCATACTCTCTGCCAGCTGAACTGTGGCATCAGCTGGCTGACTCCAACTTACGGAATGTGTGGAAGTGGGAAGAAAAAGGCAATACCCAGCTACAGCCTAAATAACTACAGGGTTTCTATAAGCACTGTGGCACCAAGTTGTTCCATGCCACCGCATATGCCATGAGGAAAAAAATTAGTCACAGAAGGTGGATGGAGAGGGACATAGAGTTTGTGAATAGTGCCAGATGCTGGTGTACTACAATAACTGTCAGGTTTATTTGGAAAAAAACCCCAACAAAAACAAAAAGTCACACAATAGCTGATAGTTTGTTTTAAAATAATGCACCCATTAATTCTTCTAGAGATTAAAAAAAAAGATTTATTTTTATGAAATGACTTATTATTTCAAGCCAAATTGAAAAAGAAAAGCGTAGAAAATTTTACTGTTTCCACAATACCAGCAGATGGCATTTCCTGAATCAAACTCCTCTGGGAGCATGCAGCTGCACAGCAAAATTTATGTCCTTGTCAGCATCAGGGATCCACTGCCGAGGCTCCCGGGATGTGCGGCTCCGGGCAGCCGGGACACAGATTTCCTTGGAGCCGCAGGTCTTGGGAGCCTTCCCACACACAAGTTTCCCTCCCTCCCAGCCAGAATCCCATGGCACCACACAAAACCCGGCCCAAGCAGTGCCCACAGCCAAGGGGCTTGGTGGCTCACCACCTCCTGGACACTCCTTGGGACCACCAAGTATCGCCTGCCCTGACTGTGCAGGCAATACTGTCCAAAATCCTTAGCTTTCCATTCATGTCACCTTTCTACTCATCTGCAGTTGCCTATTAATTTACACTTTTACTTACACAGAAGCTAAAACCCAACATTACTCTTCTAGATATTCTCAAGCATTCAAGTTTGTGTTTTGGGGTTTTGGTTTTTTTAATAAAAAAAAACCACAACAAAACAACACACACTATGCTGCATGAGACTGGGAGTCTGACAAAAGAACAGGACTCCCCAGAATCTCCTTGTACAAGGAAGGCAATTAGAGCAATTTAGAGAATGCTGACCACAGATGACGACAGAAGTTTTACTGCAATAAACCACTGCTGAGATTTCTTCCAGGAACTCAGCACAGAAAGAATGAGTTTAAAGCTGCTAGAAATCCCTAATCCTCCTTATCTGATGTTTCTTCCTAGAAAAGCATGTTTTATCCAAATCTGCTTCAATCCTAAGCATATTTCCTGTATGCATGAACTGAAACAGTGTCATCCCAAAACCACTTCTCAGACTTGCTAGTAAGAGTCAGACTGTGCAGGACTTCAGGTGAAATTTTCTCTACATTTTAAAGAAACTTGTCCCTGGAAGGAAGAAGAAAATTGGCTTGCTCTGCTATGTTGTGCATTCAATTTTGAACAATTCAGTATTGAAGGTTTTTTCCTAAGTTTAAAAAAGTATACAAAACATTTATTTTAATTTCAGTGATAAATTAGCAAGATTTAGTACTTGGCTGAATAGGAAGCTTGCTTTTCTCCTCAAGACTTCATGCAAGCATGACAAATCTGCACACAAAAAATGGATGCATAGCATTTCTTCAGTTGGGGTCAGGGTGTGGGGGTGAGAGGGAAGGGAGGGAGGTTCAGAGGAAAGAGCACATTTGATAAAATAATTAACAGAAGCCATTCAGGGCATTAAAATAAAACTTCTTTCCACAGCAAAGATGAAAACTAAGGTCAGCTTCCCAAAACTGATTAAGAGGGACAATGAAGATAATGGCATGCTTTACCATCAGTGAAGTCATGTTTTCTCACTTACATGTCTGCCTTAATTGGATAAATAAGTGATTTTTTCTATATTCTTTTCTGAATGCCATGGCTTTTCCTCCCTTCATTTACATTTCTGGCAGACTTCAGGAGACAAGTAATCAAGGACTCCAGAGGAAGCATGCAAGAGCTTTTAGCCCAGAGAGGGTACAAAGAAAGCAGCCTCCTCCCTTTAAGACCACTCTTGCAAGAAAGCACCCTCCCACTGTGGTTACAAGCAGGCAGCTGCAAACAGTCCTCTGCAGACAAATATAACCCCTGTTTCCACTGGATGACCGAAGCCAGTAGACACAGCGGCATGCAAGTTTAGGAGCTCTTGAAATAGGCTGCAGTGAGAGTGGGGCAACATCCTTCTCTGCTTGAAGCCTGTACCACCAGGCATCCTTCCTCATCCACACTCACACTGCTCACAGCCAGCATAATAAACCACATTAATCCTCCGATGGAGTCTATCTCCCACCAAGTTCTTTTTTATGTTTTTCTTCCTTCAGAAATGCTCATTACAAATTTCAAAAAGCCACCCCAAGCCAAAACTTTTTCTCACATCACCTCCAAGGTGAAACCAATTCAGACACCATCAGAGAGCCCCAATATGAATCACGGAACCATCCTGGTTGGAAAAGACCTTGAAGATCATCACATCCAACCATAACCTAAATCCACTAACCATAACCTAATTTACCTGTTCAGTGCTTAAATCATATCTCTAATCACCACATCTCTATTTCTTTCAAATACTTCCAGGGATAGTGACTCCATCACCTCCCTTGGCAGCCTGTTCCAGTGTCCAACCACTCTTTTGGTAAAGAAATTCTTCCTAATATCCAGTCTAAACCTCCTCTGGCTCAGCTTCAGGCTATTTCCTCTCATCCTGTCATTATTCACTTGAGAAAAGATGCCAACTCCCACGTCCCTACAAGCTCCTTTCAGGTAGCTGTAGAGATCAATGAGATCTCCCCTCAGCCTCCTCTTCTTCAAACTAAACAATCCCAGTTCCCTCAGCCTCTCAAAGTTATGTATGGCTCATTTACGCTAAGCAGCTACAGCGCTGGTCCATGCCTGACTGTGATTTCAACTCTACATGCAACTTAGGCACACAGCAAACCAAAATGAAAAAGCAAAGACCTACTTAAACTGAGGAAAGCAAATTGCACCCACCACTAGCAGAATTGAAGTGGCAATGCTCTCTCCCCTTGCCTTCCCACCCAAAGTTACAGGACATCCAACAACTGGCTTCTTTGCCTTGCAGCATGCTTACCTAAGGTCATCTCTAGCCCAGGGGACAGGGAGACACCAAGCAACTCCCTCATGTTATTACTCTAACTGAAATCAAACACACTGGCTACAGATGCAGGGGATTATGCTTAAGAGCATACTATTTTAAGACTAAACTACCTTCTCTCTGGGCCTCTGTATTTTGCTGTTCAAAAGTCCAGACTTCACACAGTTTTCTTCTGTGTGCTGCACAAAATGCTTTAAATCCTCAGCAGTTTTATTTCAGACTTCGTAAGCTCTCAGCTAGGAAGCTCCACACTATTAAAGCCAGACTGTCATCACCACTAAGCACTACTAATCACTACTCCCACCATTATTCAGAAGAAACACAGCAAGAGAAGTTACATGCTATCTGGAGGAGATGCTACAAAGAAGGCACGGCCAACTTTGTGTCCCTGTTTCTGTGTCACACCTTTAGCCTCATGAGGCAGAGCCATGACAAATCAATTACAATAACCTTTGGTTTAGTCTGCATTTCCACAACTGCAAAACCAATTACAACCTTCTCTTTCAAAACCATTAAGTGATGAACTGCATGGTGCAATAAAAGTCCTCAATTCAAGAATGTCCCAGCATAGAGAAAAGTTGAATATGTTAGATCATTGTTCCTTTCTAACAAAACCCATCTTTCAAAACTGTGCTAGATGCATGCTACTCTTCCCAGATAAAACAGCATGAATCAACACCTCCTCCCTCTATTTTTTTTTTTAATTCCTGCTTTACCCTTTGGACATTTGGGCACTGCTGCAGATGACATACCCCAAGTCCATCCATGGCTGCTTGGCACCAGTATAATAAAGCCATTAAGTACACAAATGTGACTCCTTTTCCATCCCAGCATTTAGTTCCGGGTTCAGGTAAGGTTTCCTACCAAAGCCTCAGAACTCAAGTATACTCCCAAACAGTATGTACAGAGACTGTCCCAAAGCAAGGTGCCTAGGGATTGAAGTACAAAAACATGACAAGCAAGCTTCAAAACAAAAAGAAAACACCAAGGTCAACTCCCTGCCTAACTTCAAATCACTGAAGGAAAAGTCTCAACCACCCACAGAAACAGAGAGCTTTGCTAGTTGCACATAA